TTGTTTAGCAGGGCTCGCCTCATTTATTATTTAAAGGCCAACCTAAAGCAAACTACAATTTTCTACTTAGTTTGTCTCTAATAATAAAAGAAAAAACCCTAATTAATTAGTATTGTTCAAGAACTAAACATGTCCACAATCACGATGATATTTTAAACGGCCCTAAAGGTTTCTCTAGGAATATTTATTATTTTACCTCTACATTATGAAANTGGGATTTGATTTGGGTCACATGAAATGCACACCCAAATTTAAGAAGGTAAATTATTAAAAGCGCACCTAAAGTGACTAATGCGTTATTATCTTTGGGGAGGNCTTCATTTGTTAGCAAAGGGTATGAAGGAATACCTGTAAATGAAAGTCAAAAGGGGGTGAGATCAGAAGTAAAAACAACAGCAATCACCAGCAGCAACAAAACAGTCCCAGTTTTAATCCAGCTATTAACCCCAGATAGTTCAATGAAACAGTATATGGAAGATGGTTTCAGCCAATTCGAAATTGAAAACCAAAAATAGAAATAAATGAAACAGTAAATTCCAGTTTTTTTTTTCAGTATTTTCAGAATGTTTTCTTAGCTCTCTGCCCCTGTATATCCAGTGTATCCAGAGTGTATATCGAGTGTATACCGCTCTCTCCGCCCCCTTTTTTTCTTCTCCTCTCTGAATTTCCTAGCCTTCTACCCTCTTTGAATGTACTCCCTCTCTCAGAATCTCTTCCAAGTTTTCTTGGCTCTCTGCCCCTGTATATCCAATGTATCCAGAGTGTATATCGAGTGTATACCGCTCTCTCCGCCCCTTTTTTTTTCTCTAATCTGATTTTCAGCTCCCTCAAATGGGCATTCAATTAGTGCATTTTCCACTACCAATTCAACTTTTCATTTCTTTAATCATCCACTTAATTGTCCACTCAATTAGTGCTTTTAGTTAATTAAATACTACCCTGCCACTATTAGAAGCTTCTCAATTAGTAAATTGGCCAAACCAGATTTTCCTCTTCTTATTCTCAATGGGTTTGGCTGAGTTTTGGTTTTGGGCCTGGCTAAATTGGCCCAACCAGATTTTCCCCTTCTTATTCTCTTTGGGTTTGGCTGAGTTTTGGTTTTGGGCCTGGCTAAATTGGCCCAACCAGATTTTCCCCTTCTTATTCTCTTTGGGTTTGGCTGAGTTTTGGTTTTGGGCCTGGCTAAATTGGCCCAACCAGATTTTCCCCTTCTTATTCTCTTTGGGTTTGGCTGAGTTTTGGTTTTGGGCCTGGCTAAATTGGCCCAACCAGATTTTCCCCTTCTTATTCTCTTTGGGTTTGGCTGAGTTTTGGTTTTGGGCCTGGCTAAATTGGCCCAACCAGATTTTCCTCTTTTTATTCTCTTTTCCTTTTCAATTTTCTTTTCCTTTTTCTTTTCAACAATTAAAACTAAAATCCTAATTAATTATAAAATACCAAATTAACTTAAAAATTCTAATTAATTCTAACTAATAATTATCACAAATAATTAAGCGCCAAATTAAAAGAAAATCACATAATTTGACTAAAATTACAAAAATATGTTATATTTTTTTTTGAATTTTCATTTTTGTAAAACATCTAATTATTAATTAATTCCAAAAAATGTAAAAATCAAATCTCAAATGAAAATGCTATATTTTTGTATTTTTAATGCATTAACAAAATTAAACATGCACACAAATATATGCGAACAATCAGAGAAATCACACAATAATTCTTAAAAATAACATATAATTAAAGAAAAGACCTAATTTGGGGAATTCTTTTGGAGCAATTCGTATGAGGAAAAAAATCGCGTGCTCACACTCATGACCAGGGAGAGGGTGTCAGGTGCTACTTTTGAGGAGGTGGTTGACATTGCCCGCGAGATTGAGTCAGTTCGTCGCCAAGAGCGAGATGAGAGGGAGGCCAAGAGGCCTCGGGGATCTGGTAGTTTTGGTGGTGCTCCTTAAAGAGGTCAATTTCAGCACGGCAGAGACCGTCCATTCAAACATGCTCAGTCAGCTCGCCCAGTTCATCGTGAGGCATCATCGGGCCACGGTTCTCATAGCTCACATCAGGGACATTCATCACTCAGCTCCCTACTAGCCCAGGGTTCGTCCCGTGCTCCATCGGTTCAGGGTTCTTCCATGCCAGGTCCTTCTACTGGTTATTCCTGTGCCAGGGGTTCCCTTTAGTCCCCGTTCCCCGCACTAGGGAGTTGTTACGAGTGTGGAGAGTTTGGACATATGAGGAGGCAGTGTCCTCGTCTTCTTGAGAGTCCATCTCAGCAGAGGGGTCAGCCCTTGACTTCAGCTCCAGTTACTGCACCACCCGCTCAGGCAGCTAGGGGTGGGGTCAGTCAACTAGGGGCCGCCCTAGAGGGGGAGGCCGATCAGGTGGTGGTCAGGCCCGTTTCTATGCACTCCCAGCCAGACTAGATGTTATTGCTTCAGATGTTGTGATTACAGGTATTGTCTCAGTCTGCCACAAAGATGCCTCTGTATTATTTGATCCTGGTTCCACTTTTTCATATGTGTCATCGTACTTTGCTCGTTATTTGGGTACGCCCCGTGAGTCTCTTGTTTCATCTGTTCGTGTATCTACTCTGGTGGGCGATACTATAGTTGTGGACCGTGTATACCGGTCATATGTGGTGACTATTGGGGGTCTGGAGACCCGAGTGGACCTTTTGTTGCTTTGTATGGTGGACTTTGATGTGATATTGGGCATGGATTGGCTATCTTCGTGTCGTGCTTGTAGACATATGATTTTTGATCCTCCCCAAGATTTTACATATTTTAGCATTTAAATATTTAGTTTAGGTCTAATATAGTTATTTCAATTAATTTTGACTCTTTTACTTTATTTTATCACAAAAATGAAAATTACAAAAATAGTTTCATTAATGTTTTGTAGTCATACTATTTTACTAGGATTTTTATTTAATCTTGAAAAAAAATACCAAAATAGTCTCACAACATAATAATATCTATTTTAATTAATTAAGATTAGTCTTATATTTTTATGTTATAAATTGTATATATTCTTTAGAAGGGAGAGTTAGTTTTGGGTTGATTTATCCCATTTTTATGAATTTTATAGTCCATTTTTAGTCTTTGGCCCAATCTCAAGGCCCAATAAGATCAAACTCATACTCCCTTAACCTAAAAAACCCTACAAAAACTAACTTAGACCCTAAGAGCTAAAAATCCGTCGTTTCCTATCATAGACCACTCCCCCCAGCGTTGCTTTTTCGTCCTCTATACACCCTAACCTTCGGCACCTTCACAACACAAAACAAAAACCAACCTAATAGACAAAAATCCTAGTTGTTTCCTGGACTGAAATTCAGAACCAACGACCCTAAGCTTCTCCTTCAGCACACCCTAACGTCGGATTCCCCTTAACCCTAAGCAGTCGTTTCTAAGAAAAACCCCAGCGACTCCTCGCCGGAAACCAACCCCACCGGAGAAACCAGAACTCATGCCAAACGCACATACACACAGTTGCAACTTCACCAAAGCAACACCGTGAAACTTCACCCATGGCCACATGTTTCTTTCACCACCGTAGGTCTGCTAGAGAACCACCATGAACGACCCTTGAAGTTTGAGTTCATTGGCAAAGATCTGGTTTCTCCGGCAACGTTTGAGGTCTGTTCGAGGTTCACCGTCAAAGCTTCGATCGATGCACTCGATCGAGCTCTCTGTCGGATTGTCCGGTCCAACCCCGTTCCACAGCGCTGTTCGAGTGCTTGTAAAGCTATGATTCAACATCAAGCGATTTGTGCTAGTGGTGTCAGCGGTTCAAGTACAAAAACCGACATATTTTCTTTGTGGTTCATCTGTGAGTATTCTTGTTACATTTCTCGTTGGGTCAGTTTTGTTTTCTCACTTTAACTTTTTTCCTTTGTAAATTTAAGTAGTAGTAATATATTTGTTCTCTTTTTAATTTTATATTGCTATTTCTTGTTTGTTTATCATTAGATTATTAGTTGTTTTGTCATTTTGGAATAAGCAATTTTGTAGCAGATAGTTATCGTTTTCTATGTATGACGATAAATCAATCTTTTTTTCTGTTTGATAAATCAACTTGTTGTATACATGTGATCACCAATTACGAAATGCTGAATGGTGGATGTTTTGCTGAATTAAGTGACAGAAGCTGGTGGGTAAGAAATTTCCGGGGTACATTTATGTGACCCGCCCATAATTTCATCTTGTCAATAAAATAAACATGTTGTATATCGTGGGTATGGTTCCGTGACATGATTCACAATGTGTAATTGACAATTGGATTGTTAAAAGCAGTTTTAAAAGAAATAAAATGCATATAGGTTTCAAAAGATGTTTTAAAATCAGATAAATAGGCCAATAATAACAGTTGAGAGACCGTGCTAAAATCACGAAACCCGGGAATACCTAACACCTTCTCGTGGGTTAACAGAATTCCTTACCCGGATTTCTGTGTTCGCAGACCATAAATAAGAGTCAAACTTCCTCGATTCAAGATTAAAACCGGTGACTTGGTATACCATAAATTATCCCAAGTGGCGACTCTGAATTTAATATAAATAATCCAGTTTTTATTGTCACTTAAATTGGAAAAAATTCCCTTATATCCCCTTTTCGGGGCGAGAGCTGAGTCACGAGTGACTGAGAGGCTTGCTAGAGAGGCTATATTTATGAGTGATACCTTTCCCGAGGGGCTTGTTTATGACTTTCGTTACTTTCACTCTTTTTTATACTGAACCTCTGTTGAAAAATGTTGGATAAATGTTTTCAAAAGATTTTTAATCGAAATTGATGTTTTACGAGATGACTGCTATTAAATTGCAGAATTTGACTTGATATTTCTGTTGAGACTTATTATATGATTTTAACTGCTCGTCACTACACTTAAACCTTATTTACTTTAATTACTTACTGTGTTGTCATACTCACATTACTCTCTACACCTCGTGTGCAGATCTAGGTGCCCGAGTATCAAAGTGAGAGCTTCCAGCACTCTCAGAGCTTCATAGGAGATCGCAAGGTAGCTGCAGGGCGTTCGCAGCCTTGCTTTCCTCCCTCCTATCTTAGTATTGTGTCTTTCAGACTTATTTTGTATTATTCAGACAACATTTTGGTTGTATTTAGAGGCTCATGATTAGTGACACGGGATTTGGGTTGTGTTAGTGTATTTCATACTCTTTTCCGCATTTCTGTTGATTTATATATTACATTTGAAGAATTTGAGACTTAATCGGTTTTATAAAATGATTTTAATAAAAGAATTTGATTTGGTAAAATGTTAGTTTGGCTTGCCTAGTACTGTGATAGGTGCCATCATGACCAGGACATTTGGGGTCGTGACAGGGCTGAAGTTTGTTTTGTATTTGCTGAACTTCAGCATTATAGGAGCTGAAGTTTTTGTTTATGTTTGATGAACTTCAACAATGATCATTGCTGAGAAAGAAGAACAAAATATATGGTTGTTGAAGTGTGTTGCGTACCACATATATCCTGCTAAATCATGAACTTGAATCACTTGTAAATAAACTTAGTCGACAGTTATAATCCACAAGATGAATTTTCAAAGTATACGTTTCTGTAAAACAACTAGAGACTGTTACATTCATATATCTTCTACACTCCATTATCAAATGAAATTACATTGAAAACAAATCACGAGACACTATATGAAGTTTCTTGCTTCAATTGGGAAGAATAGTAGCAAACTCTAAAAGTTCCTTGTTAGTCTACTCTCAAGAAAGGAGGAAGAAGAGAGCGCACAGGTAGTAGGAAGAAGGAGGCGCCTGAAGTTGTAAAAATGAGGTTATAGGTTAAATAATTTTAAAAATATGGGTATAAAATGAGGGCGACCAAATAGGGCACCCCGTGCAATTTTTACGAAAACTTACATTCTCCCACTTGGCCCAATAATCACATAATATTAATATTTAATAATATAAATATTAGTTGCACATAAACAAATCTCTTTTATAATGTCCATCATAAATATCATAATACGATAAACTAATAAATGTGAGCTACGACGATCATACATATTTTGTCTGCATACTCCTTTCCATTTACAACATCATTAACAACTCATCGTACCAGGTCTATAAACTATAAAATATTATGATCCACAATAATATCTCATTGAGACTTATCCTGTAATATCTCAAAAACAATAATGTGTACACCATTATGAGAAACAGGAAATCATTAATGTATATCAAAAATATATAAATGAGCTCAAAGTGTCAAAATATCATAAATACATCAGATATAAATACAACCAAGACCCATTCTATATACATTTTCTTTAAATACCTTTGGCTGTAAACCTTTCGTTAACAGATCTACAATCATGAGATCAGTTCTAATATGCTCAAGTGACACTCTTTATTTTTGAACTTTCCCCTTGACGGTAAAGTACTTTAATTCCATATGTTTGGCACCTTTGGAGTACTTATCGTTCTTGGAGAAAAATATTGCTGTAGAATTATCACAACAAATTTTCAGCGGCTTGGCAATGGTGTCGACAACTCCAAGTCCTAAAATAAAGTTTCGCAGCCATAATGCATGAATTGTGGCTTCAAAACATGCCACAAATTTTGTTCCCATCATGGATGTAGCAATGACAGGCTGTTTTGACACTCTTTCATGATATTGCTCCTTCAGCTAATTGAAACAAATAACCAAATGCAGACTTTCTAGTATCAATACATCCAGCGAAATCTGAATCCGAGTATCCAACAACTTCCAAATGTTTGGATCTCTTATACATGAGCATGTAATCCTTTGTTCCTTTCAGGTACCTCAAAACTTTCTTTGCAGCTTTCAGTGATCAATTCCTAGGTTACTCTGATATCTTCTCAGCATTCCGACCACAAAACAAATATCCAGTCTTGTGCAAGTCTGAGCATACATCAGACTACCAATAACAGAAGAGTAAGGAATTGATTCTATTTTTTTCGTTCTACATCATTCTTAGGGCGTTGCATGAGACTAAATTTGTCCCCATTTTAAATGGAACAATTCCCGCTGAACAGTTGTTCATATTAAATCTCTCTAGAACTCTTTCGATATAGCCTTTTTGAGACAATCCCAATAATCCTTGTAATCGATTACGAAATATTTCTATTTGTATCACATAGGATGCCTCACCCATATCTTTCATTTTAAAATTCTTAGAGAGAAAATCTTTAGTCTCACGCAATCTAAATCAGTAGCAACAAGTATAATATTATCAACATATAGGACTAAAAATAAAAACTTTCTCCCATTGATCTTTTGGTATATACACCGATCAACGGTATTTTTCACAAATCCAAAAGATGTTATGGCATTAAACTTTATATACCATTATCGTGAGGCTTGTTTAAGTCCATACATTGACTTCCTCAGTTTATACACCATTTGACCTTTTCCTTTAGTTTCAAAACCTTCTGGTTGGTCCATATAAACTTCCTCCTCGAGATCTCCATTAAGAAAGGCAGTTTTCACATCCATTTGGTATAACTCTAAATCATAATGAGCCACCAATGCCATAATAATTCTTAACGAGTCTTTATTTGAGACCGGTGAAAAGGTTTCTTTATAATCAATGCCTCCTTTCTAAGTATAACCCTTGGCAACAAGTCTGGCTTTATATCGTTCAATGTCGCCATTTGAATCGCATTTGGTCTTAAAGACCCATCTACACCAGATTCTTTTTAGAATTTTCTAGCAATTCAATGAGATCCCAAACTTTGTTATATTCCATGTATTTTAACTCTTCCTTCATGACATCAATACATTTGTAAGACTCATTACTTTCTATGGCTTGTGAAAATGAAACCGGATCCTTTTTAAGACCAATGTCAAAATCTGACTCTTGCAAATAAACCACGTAATCGTCCGAAATAGCCGATTTTCTTACTCTTTGAGATTTTCTTAATGGCATTTCTTGCGGTTCATTTGTGTCAGATATTTGTGAGTTAGTTTCTCCATGAAGTGTTTCATCCAAATGCTGCTCTGTGTTGTCAAAGTGTTCTTCAACAACTGGAACAATATTTGGTATATTTGTGGAAGTAGGCACATTTGTAGGTATTGGAACATTGACCCTCACCTCTGTTATTTCCACACTTTGTTTTTCAATATTCCCACTAACTTCACTATTCTCAATGAATCTTCCATTACGGGTTTCAACAATTCTTGAACTATGTTTTGGATAGTAAAACACATACCCTTTATATTTCTCTTGGTAACCAATAAAGTAACCACTTACTATTCGAGAACACAATTTTTTTTCTTGTGGATTATAAACTCTAGCTTCCGCTGGGCAACCCCAAACATGCAGGTGCCTTAAACTAGGTTTCCTTCACGTCCATAGTTCAAAAGGAGTCTTTGGACTACCTTACTACGAATCTTGTTTAATAAATATACAGTGGTTTTAAGAGCATATATCCACATGATTTGGGTAATGAGGAATCACTCATCATGCTCCGAACCATATTCATAAGTGTTCGATTACGCCTTTCTGCAACACCATTTTGTTGAGGTGTTCCAGGCATAGTATATTGTGCACATGTGCCACATTCCTCGAGGAACTTTGCAAATGAACCTGGACATTATCATGATTCATTATATTTTCCATAATATGCACCACCTCTGTCTGACCTAATGATTTTTACCTTTTTATCTAATTGTCTCTCAACCTCATTAACAAACACTTTGAGAGTATCTGTCGCTTGAGATTTTTCTTTAGACAAATAGATGTATCCATAATATGAAAAGTCATCGATAAAAGTGATAAAATATTTTTCTCCATCAAAAGATGGAACATCAAAGGGTCCACAAATATCAATGTGTATAATTTCAAGAAGTTGGGTTCCTCTTGTGGCACCTTTCTTACTATGCTTGGTTTACTTTCCCTTAATGCAATCCAAACATATATTAAGATATGTAAAATTTAGATTCGAAAGAATCTCATTCTTTACTAATTTTTCTAACCTTTCTTTAGATATGACCCAAACGTCTATGCCATAAGTAAGCAGAACTTTTATCTAGTGAACTACGTTTAATTCCAACATTATGTTGAATAGTAAGAAGGGATTTAGAAAAACCAATATCGAGTTTCAATTTATATAAACCATCACTAAGAACACCGGAACCATAAAAATAGCATTCTTATATAAATTGAAACACCCATTTCCAAACTTTAAATTAAATCCAGAAACATCAAGTTTTGAAAGAGAAATTAAATTCCTAGAAACTGAAGGTACATAAAGTGTATGTAATAGATCAAGATAACGTGTAGTCTCCATGATCAAACGATAAGTCCCTATGCCTTCAATTGGAGCCTTCATACGATTTCTCATGAACAAGAAATCCTTATTTGGATTTGTAGTTTGGATCGTAAGGAATCCCTACAATGTAGTAAATACATGAGTAGTTGCTCCAGAATCAAGCCACCAAGTATTATTAGGAACTTCTACTAAATTTGATTTGAAACATACAAAAGTATTAATTGTACCTTTCTTTTCGAACCAAGCTTTACGTTTCAAGAAATCTTTCTGATAGTGTCCTTCCTTGTTACAGAAACAACACATATCTGCCTTATGTTCATTCTTAGTATCCTGTGAAGCTTTAGCAGGTGCTTTATTCTTCTTGAATTTGTTGGCCTTCACTTTAAGTCTTTTAATAGCTCCTTAACCCATGAGGTTAATTGAATGATTCCCTTGTTTCTTAAGTCTTGACTCCTCCAAAGTAAGCATATTGGACAATTCATTAACATTCCACTTATCCTTAATAGTGTTATAGTTAATTTGAAAAAGGTCCATACTCAGGAGGCAATGAGTTCAGAATAAACTGAACCAAGAAGGAGTTATCCACTTTCATCCCCAAGGTCTGAAATCTTGTTGCAATGTTAGTCATCTCGATGATATGATTTTGCATAATACGCGACCCATCAAACTTTATTGTCTTGAGTTCAGCCATTAATGTACCGGCGAGAGGCTTATCTGCAGAACGAAAACGTTCTTCCACAAACTTCAGGTATTCCCTGGCACTTTCTGTTTGTAAGAATAATACTCTTAATATTGTTGGCAATAGTCATTCGCATAAATATAAGGCTCAGCCTGTTAGAGCATTCCCATGCTTTATGGAAAGGCTTCTCATCCGCATTGCTCGTATCAGTAATGGCAGTGGGCTTATCATTCAGTAGAGCCAAGTCAAGATCCATTACACCTAAGTGGAACTGGACTTGTTCAT